ACGACGCGGGTGATGGGGCGGGGGGGATGCGCCGCCGGGCTCCGCGCCAGCCCCGCCGCTTCCCACGAGGGATCGTCTCCACGTGGAGTGGGGGGGAGGAAACTGAGGCACGGCGCTGCTCTGGCACCGGCATGCTCTGGCATGTGGGCCGGGTGAGTGCTGCCGTGCGTGGGCATCCCCGTGGGTGCTCAGCATCCCCTGAGTGCTGCTCAGCCCGGGTACCCTCCGAGCCCTGCTGCACTGGGGTGCGGGTGCTGGGGTGCCAGGGGGGCCCTCGGGGTGCTGCGCTGGGAGTGCTTGGTTTTAATTAAAACTCTCCCTGTGATGCTGCTCTGGCTTGCTGCACCCCCCTCCTCTGCCAGCTTAATCCACAGGCTGCTTCCAGCCAAACTTGACAGAGGAGTTTAGAGCGCCCCAGTCTCCTCCTTCTTGCCTAAAAGCAATGAACCTGCTCTAAAAAAATTAAAATAAAATAAATTGCATAATGCATATCTTCCCCCTTCCCAAAGAGGGGAAAGGCCTGGGACAGCCCAGCTCTTGGAGAGCCCTGGGAGCTGCAGAGCACGCCCTGTGCCGGGGGGAAAGCTGCTGTCTGCCCTTGTGCTGCTGGGGTTGGGGGTCCCCCGGCCCTGGGGCACCAGCTGGCTGCGTCCTTCCCTCTGTCCTGAGGCAAAGCGGGCGGCCCCAAGGGCTCCCTCCCTGTTGAAAGGGGGAAACTGAGGCACGCAGTGGCTTTGCTCACCCTGGGAGGCAGCAGGCACCCGGGATGGCTCCCAGCTCTGCCTTGTGATGGGATGGGTGCCCGCAGGTTGGGCTTGGCAGCTGGGCTAGGAGGTTTGGGGTTCTGGCAGAGCTCGATTGAGGGCTCAGATCTGGCTCAGCACCTGATCCACTCCAGCCCAAAGTCCGTCCGTGCCGTGCCGTTCCCCAGGTGCGAGGGGCTCCCCGGGGCTGGGAGGGCTCCTCAGCCTCCCGCAGGGAGTGAGCAACCTTTTGAAGCTTCTTTTTCTTCTTAAGATAATTATTCTGTTCCTCTTCCAAATTGGAAACAGAAACTGAAATTTCCCATGAAACAAATTCTGCCACCGCCTTCTCCCTGGGGGGAAGAAAAAGAAAATTAAAATTTCAATTAAAACCATTAGAAGCCACTGAAACGAAAACTGGGGTGAACTGAAGCTGCTTGTGCTTAGCTTGTCGGCTTGGGCTTGTGCGTGGCTGGTGGCTCCGGCTGCGGGGTGACGTTTGGGGGGGCCATAGGGGAAGGTGTCGCGCTGTGGGTGCAGGGGTGGCTGCGTCCCCAGCGCTCCCTCTCACTTCAAGCTGCTCTTTTCCTTCCGCTTTGACTTCCAGCAGAGGCTTGTGTAAGAGGGGAAAGAGCATTTTGCTGCTGCGTGCACCAGGAGCCTCGCAGCACAGCCCAGTGCCCTCCGAGCTCCCCGCAGTCTCCCCCAAGGGACCCCCTTCTTTGGGGGGGTGGCTTCTATGGGACTCCCACCCTGGGGGTAAAGGGGTGCTGGGGATGGATGGAGCACGGCAGGGTGCCGCTCCCTGGGGAGAGGAAGCCAGGGAAGGGGAAGGCGCCCGGAGCCGGTGTAACCCGAGGCGCGGGAGGAATTTGTTGGGGCTGGGGGAGAGGAGGAAGCCTCGTCTGAAACAATAAAAGGAGCCCGATGACTTTGCCAATGTTATTCTGAGCTGGGAAAATATTATTGCAGGGCAAGAATAGAAGGAGACGACAGCGTTTTCCCGGGCTGGGCCCAACAATGTGGGAGGACCTGAGATGCTGGGAGGGCACTGGGAGGAGGGTACCCCCCGGGGACATGGGGCTGGAGGAGTCCCAGGTGCCTGGTGCCAGCTCTGCTTGCAGGCACAGGGGTCTTTCTGGTGAGGATAGAGCCACTGGGACTGTATCCCTCCATGCCACCAGCATCACCAGTTAGGACACTGGGACTACCCTTAAGCGGCTTGGTGGGGACGGGAGCTGTGTGTGATGGGGTGGAAGTAGCCGTCCCCAGCCCAGGGATGGACTCTGTCCCCCTTGCAGATCCCAGAAGAGGCATTTCCCACCAGGATGGGGACATTAGGCTGCTGGCCACCTCCTCGTGGCAGGGCTTGGTACTCCTGTGTCCTCGGCTGCTGGCAGCTGGGCTTGTCCCAGCGCCACCTCCCCTCCCATGGGGACATGTATGAGGGATGCTCGGGCTCGCAATTTCCCTGGGGGCAGCAGCGGCGGCTGGCAGCCTTCCCCAGCGGAGGGTGTCTGGGGACACGGCTGCGCCTATCAATGGCACTTTGTCTTCCTCCTCCTCCTCCTAGCAGTTGCAGTGGCCTGGCCCACGGTCCGGGCAGTCACTGGGATGGGGTTTCAGAGCCCGGTGAAGCTGAGCCGCTCCCTCTTGCCCTCTCCCTCTGCAGCAGCTGGGTGGGCGCCAGTGTGCTGGGGTTT